GTTGTTCATTGCTTGGAATGCTACCAGTCGGTACGTAATACGGCGTAGCGCATAAAATATCGCATAAATGTTGTTCTCTACTTTTCAATTCTGACAATTTCTTCAATCGTTCATGTTTCTCCTTATTTAGAACATCAACCCGTGTTCGTAGTTCTTTCTCCAACTGTAAAATGGTCAAGTGTTCTGGTGCCTGTTTGTATAAAAATATTATCAACTTTTCGATAATGTTGTAAAGTTTTATATTAAGATAGGCTTGTGCTCTAAGCTCTATGGTTATGTAATCACCCAATCACAGACAAAATAATGTTGCAGGCAATAAGAAAATGAACAAGAACTATTAAACTACATGATATGTTGGTAGGATGCAGCATAACTGATCATTGCGAAAACATTAAGACATTGTTTTTTTAAATTCAAGAGCTAATATATTTCAATCTAACTGCATGAGAGTATAATATTATATACAAGACACAAAGTGATATAAAAAAAATAACTTTTTTCATACATGAATCTCCTAGCATACATGTATAACTTTCACTACATTTGATTTCCGTGACCGGAAACTGAACTGACGTACTGACACGTAGACCAAATCAGTCACACTATTAAATATATTGGAAAAGACCATACTTGGTTTAACAATGTCAGTACAATTTATTTATTTTCTCACCTCATATAAGGGTAAAGCTAATTCATGAGTTAGACTTGCTAATTCTTTACTGCATGATTCAACACTTTTTAGCAGCCTTTGCCTCATCTCTTCCTCCTCGTTAACCATCTCTTCTAACAGTGCTCTTAAGTGATGGAGCACTACTTTTTGTCTCTCCTCTTGTTGTGCAATGCCAATTCCAATTTCTTCCCATATACCATGTAGCTTTCCTAGGGTGTCTTCCAATAAATCTGAGATGCCTGCACATTCTAGAGATCTGTAACAAGAAAATGATGTACTACTAAAATGAGATCATACAACCACCATCAGTCTTGAAGTCTGGCAGAAAAGGTAGCAAAGTTGAAGTTGGGGTTTATACAAAATGTTTTGATTAACCTGCATGATGACATGTCATCTTTGGGGTATTTTAAAATTGATTTATGCAAATTAGCAAATAGAAAAAAAAATGTTGGTTGAAATTGAAAAGAAACCTATGCAGATTAACACTTGTAAAGTTCTGTATTTATTTTTTATGATTATGATAGCTCCAAGACAAGAAAGAAATTTATTTACTGAAAGACAAAATACAGAAGTTGTAAGATTGGCTACAGCACTGGTTGATAAATTGGAACAGAATAAATTCTCAACAGAAGCTGAAGGATATAAAACCTATGGTCATTGAAGCTGTATGCAAATCCCATTTGGCTGCCAGACTATTTCCAAAACCTACAGCAAGCGCAAGATATTTACATACACCTAACTCTCGCACAGGGGAAGGCAATCACCGAAGGACAATATCCTCGTAGATGGATTTGTCTTTTTGCTCTGGTGTTTTGATTTTCACAGGATTTAACCCGTTTTAGTTCGAATAAAAGTAATGTAAGTCGATCGATAGTTTCTACCGATACCATGCTTGAGTTGTATGAAGCGGATCAAAATATAAGTTGGAAAATCATGTAATGTTATTTTCGAGAAATTTAGATGTCATGGTGTCTACCCTTTCTTACATTGTGTTATTATACGAGTGGTAGGAGAATTTACCGGTCATTTTTATTATCCAAGAAACGTTTCGAGCGCCTGTGGCTGCGATAACTGGTCGAAGAAATAATGCGAAATACTGTGAAATGGACCCATGTAACTCCACCTCTGAACTGGCATAAAACGATATGCCTTGCATATACTCAAACACACATTGTCATTGAATAGTGCTGTGGATCATATGTAATTATTGCTGCAGTTTATGCAGCTCTCTTGGTCGTGGTATACGTTGGCCGCAACGTAATACCAAAATAGCTTAAGCGGCCAATAAGAGCTGCTAAACTGCAGCAAATGTAATTATTATTTCCCTGAATTAGCTGCAAATCATTATACGCACACAACAATGTAACAGAAGTGTATGACTTTCCTCCCAGTGAGTTTTTCAAAAAGTACAATTTACGCAGGTTTTTTTTCAGATTAACATTTCAAGATGGCGACACAATTTATCTGCATAAGCTGGAGGCGTATGTCTACATTCATTTCCAATTTAATTAAATTTCGTAACTTTTCGGTATTGTGTTGGTTGGCTCATTCAAAGTTCAACAAGAGTCCTGGGTGTCATCGCTTCACCAACGATGAACGTCTACTTTCGCACACATAAAGCATCCAAAATGACTAGAAATGTTCTTACCTGCTGGTTGCCATGATATTCGTGTACAGGTTACGTTACTTTTGACAAATATAATATTAATTTTCAGGGAAAAGCACCTTGCAATTTTTCCTAGACCTCCCGTTTTTAAAACTCGTACTGAAATGCTGCCTTATGATTGGCTGTTTGCACTTCCGCTACCGTCATACACTGTGTTCTTACATGTAAACAAAGGCCTAAGTTACATCAACCACTGGTGGCGCTTCTCCTGTCGAATAAAACATTTCAAGCTTTACCTTCCAAGTTAGACTTGCGCAGTCGGGGCGATTAATTTGTTTTCGTAGTTTAAATAAAATAAAAAAAAATCGCAAAATGAAAATTAAAAAAATCATGAAATGAAGGTATTAGCGCAAAATCA